GGGAAAGCAGAGGTGGATGGCAAGAGGCCAGACCCCTGCTTCTTGCTCGCCTGCCTCCCATCACCTGCCCCTTGCCCCCACACTTCTTGCCTCCAAAGCCTGTTTTCCCCACCCCTTGTCCCCGCATGCCCCTGTGTCTGTCCGACTCCCCTGTGCTTGCCCCCAACTCCCTGCCTACCCCTTCACCCTTACTCTTTCTGCAGCTCTGCTTCAGTTCTGGGGCAGTCAGCCACAGTGTCCCAGTCCCAGTCTCAGCCCTAGCCCTGCCCAATCGGAAGTAGCATCAGCTCTGCCAGGCCAGGCTGGGGCTGGAGGGACCAGAGCCAGAGCAGAAGGTAAGCAGAAAAGGGGCAGGCAGTGGGGAAGAGCAGGGGGTAGGTGGCAGGCATAGGCACAGGGGCAAGGAGTGGGAAGGCAAGCTGCAAGTTCCCCCATCCCCAATGTTCCCTCCAGGGGCTGCATGCCCCTTTCCCTGCCAAACGAACCATTCTGGCCCTGGCCAGTACTTGAATCCAAGATGGAGCTCCCCCTGACACGCACACGCCCACACCCACCCCATTCTGATTAGGGGAAAAAACCCTCATCTTGGTTTTACTTAAACACAGAAGTTCTACTTTGACAATGTAGAGTGTTGCTTTTACAGTCTTTTATAGAATAAACTATTGAAAGCTGCCAGAAACCATGTTACCTTTCCAGTTTGTAAATCCCACAATGTGATATAGCTGATTTTCTCCTCATCACTGTAGTTGGAAAGCACCAGGTAGTTGCCAGCATAGGTCAAAGCAGCATTGTGTAAGAAGAGCATGGATCTCCTACTTTCAAGGGTATGGAGGTGGGACAGGGTTTTCAAACTGAACACAGAAAGGTGGTGTGCATAATACGAACACACTATTACCTGGGAGAAGAAACATCTCTGATATTTCAGTCACATGTTTAAATACCTATCTATATTCAGACTTGTTACAATCCTTGTTTCTGTTTTAAACTTTACTTGGTTTTAACCAAAACAGACTATGAAACAGATACTTTTGGAGAAATGTTGTTTCTTTAGAAATATTCTTAGCACATTTTCCCCCTTTTGAGTGGGTGGTAGTAGTAGTGGTTAAAATAAAATAAAATAAAAGAACTCTATAACGTTGTTTAAATGACTCTCAATAGTTTTCTGCAACTTAGTTTCCCATAGAGCTCCACATATAGACTTATTGTAGTGACTAGCTTCTCTAAAAAGGATGCTAATCAGTTTCTCTATTGGCTCAATCCTGAAATGACTGAGAAATCAAACCAAATCCTTTCACAATGGCACATTAGGCAGGCCTGGGAACAGTAAACCAGTGTGATCCTGTTCATTATAAACCACTAACAGCACAGCGGCAAAACAGCAGGGCTTACTAATTAATATCCTGGATACTTTACAGACTTAAAAAAAAAGAATTTTAACTATAATTCTCTACGTTTAGCTACAATTGTAATATACCCTGCTTACAATTAAAAACCTTGCTCTGAAGAAGAATATGGCTGCCGCTTAAAAAAAAAAAAAATAATTATCACTGTATTTAAATGCTAAAAACCAAGGGACATCCCACAGCCTTATGCAAAATGGATATTTTGCTTAGTTATTAACATTATTGGGCTCTTTTCTGAAACACACTTGTTTATGTCAGGCTATTCCTGTGGAGCTGATCATGACGGAACCAATAGAACAACAACAAGGTAAAAGGGGAGTCCAAGAAAAAATAAAGGGAGACAAAGATAGTAAGTTCAAATGGTTGTGAAATTTTCCTGGGCCTTACCAAATGCATATATTAGTAACCAGAATAAAATCCTGGGGTTTAAGAACAATAGTTATGTTTGTTAATTTTCTATTGTGTTGCTAAACAACTTTATCATATCAAATGATGAAATACCTTTTGCTACATCAAGTAATACTATTTGTATTAATTAGCATGATAGCAAAATACATTATCTGCATTCTAGTGTCTGCAGTACTAGATGCATTAAAGGTTCAGTTTCAGCTCAAGGACTTTACAGTTCTGAATTTCAATCCTACAACTGCTTTTACAGATGTAAGAGCTACTAAAGTAAATAAGGCTTCTTGCAGAAACGCAAAAAAGTTTCAGCATGTTTAGGCCTGAAGTGTAATTACCAAACAGGCTTAATTAGCGCACCCTTAAATTAAAACACTTCAAGAGTTTCAGATGAAAGGTACCACATAAAAATGCAAAGTATTATCATTACATATGTACATGTCATTGCATGTATACTAATGTCATTGTTCCAGTCCTCACCTTTTCATCTCCACTGAGCAGGTACTCATCAATAGCATTATATTTCTCATTTGCAAGCTGCTGTAGCTTTCCAGGGTCCTCTCTCACATTTTTGTCTGACCTCCTTTTCTTTCCTTTCTTACTTTTAACATGCCTTCCCTGGGGGGCCTGAAGTACTAAAACAAAGTTGATATGAAGAACAGGGCTAGGGCTACTGTAGAAAAATCTTCATAAGAAAGATTGTTAGGCAGCAGTCTGAATCTATCTGCTGGCCACATCACTGAACAAAGGTCCACATGGGGAAGCAGCTAATAGGGACTCACTATGGACAAAAGCCTTAAGGTTATTCTGGCCCATTCTCCTTCTTCATCTCTGCTGTATTTCAAATGGATGTTACTCCTTTGGTCATAAGTAACTACCGTACGTTAGCTGTGGTGAATTCAAAATTATCCTGCATTTATTCAGAAGTTAAAACAGCAAAGTTGAGGATGTTATGGTGCTACTTCTGTTCTCATGATAAAAGATCATTTGATTGAGAGAGCAAGTTGGAGATATGTAGGCATTTTAAAACACATTCCCCAATAGCATGACAAATAATTAGTCAAGAAAACAACACTGTATTCTGTAAACAGAAATAAAACCAAGATATGTAAATGACCTAAGAGCCCCATTAGGAGCCAGATTGCGCCTGTGTGGAGAGTCCACCTTGTTTAGTTTAATCAATATCAACTCTAGGGCTTCCCAGAGGAGCTAATAGAGACACTCTGACAAGGGAAAATTCTCAAGGCTCATCATCCTGAGACGCATAAAAGTCCATTAGATAACACCTCTGGCTTCCTGATAGAGAGCCCGTGGGCTCTCTATCTTGGGTTTCTCATAGAAAGTCTGCAGGCACATGTAGCTATTTCAGGGACATTAAGAGAGTCCACACAGGTTTCCATGCATGACGATCCAGACAAATTAATTTTGTCTGAATAGGTCCTTAAGTTTCAAACTCATTATCACAATCAATAACAAGCAGCAGTTCCTATTTACTGATGCTAAACTTAACAAGACTTTCATTTGGGCATATCATACATACACAAACTATTATAGTATTGTTGAGAAATTCTTGTGAATCATATCTATAGCTATGTAACAAAATGTATTTTTCATACCTAGCTGAAGTCTGAGACTTGCTCCAGTATTAAACCACATGACACAAATTACATTCAAATAACGTAAGGGGCAAATGGTACCCTTAAGTGACACCGAGGGCAGGGCTGAGCCCCACTCCATGCTAAGAGGAGTTTTGACTGGTGTTGTATCGGGAGTTATTGAGGACAACCAATATTGCTGGACCACTTCGCATGGTGCAACATGAATCTCTTTGTGACTGTCTACTATAAAATAGCCATAGCTGTGGCTTCACACCTCCCTTGGGGCAATAAGTGCTGGTTCTTGGAGGAAGTCACTTTTGCACAAAAAGTTCTGGAGGATTTTTGCTTCCTCTCCAGTTTTCTCTTCCAAGGCACAAGATCGGCAATTTAGCCTTACAGGTATGAGCAAAAACATGACATTGTCACCTGAAGATTATGTGGCATTGTGTCTTTATTTCATTTGAATCACCTACATTTCATTCTCAAACATATGACTCCACTCCTCTGGACAACACCATTTCATTTGTGGCACTAGAGCCTTAATTAAGTGAAAATGAGGCATTGCTTACCTGTGGCTCCCCTTCCTCCTTCCCTTTTGAACAGCATATCCTTGTATAGGTCCACAGTGTCCTTTGACACAAGCTGGCCAGGCAGAATGGTTTGCAAGGGAGGTTTGTCTTTATACTCTGGCCTTATCCGCTCCTTTATAAATCCACTTTCCAAGTTCCAAATGATCATATGGTCTCTGAACAGATAGGAATATACTCTGACCTCACATGAACCATACTGCGTTGGGATTAGTAACAACAGAGCTTTTCCAAACCATCCTCTCAAGCCACACACAGTTTAGAGTAGTGATTCTCAACTAGGATGTCTTGAGAGCCTTTCAAGGGTGCCACAGTTTGCCATGCAATGTTAGCACTGTCACATGCACAAACACGATTCACAAGATTAACTCAAGTGATTTCAAAGGGGAATCCATAGTATTAAAAACATTCTGACCTGTTGTGGTCTTTTTGAGTTCTCTGCAACAGAAGAATTGCTCTATTATTTCTCTGTAGTCAAAAGATGAGTGAAAGCTAAAAGCTGACATTTTTTCAGGGGTGTCTTGAACTTATCAAGGGGTGCCTTGGATCTAAAAAGGTTGAGAACCACTGGTCTAGAGACACCTTGCTCAGCCAGGTGAGCACACAGAAGTTGAAGTTATACCTCTCTGCCCATTTCACATTCAGTCTTTAGCTTTATTTAGAGGCACATATCCTAAACAAACAGGTGGTATTTTAAAGTAATATCAAATTAGGGATGTCATGTTTTCTGCTTGTGTTACCAGGAGGTCCTGGAGATCACCCTGAATCTCTCTATAGATCCCACAACCTCTATTTTGATTGATGTGCTGGTTTTGTTCCACTATACCTGTTTTTCTGGTAAGGCTCAACATTAGCTCTTTTTCTTCTAGGAAGCCATTTTAGCCAGTTTTGTTGTGCAAATGAGAGATTTAGCTTAAGGGAACATAAACCTCCAATCTTTGTTGCTTCTCTCAAGCCAGTAAGGTGAGGGAGTAGTTAACCATAACACACTGTTAGCCTTAAGTTTCTAAGAGCAGGATGTTTCCCATTTAAAAAAAAAGTTTTTAAAATCAGTGGAAAAAGACAGCCAAATAAGAGGCCAAATACTGCTGCCAGATAAACCCAAGCTATCTCACTGATGGCAATGAGATATCATGGATTTAATTAAGGACAGAAATTGGTCTATCATATTTACTTCTACAACTCTTAAGCATTTGATAGCTTTTAGGAGAAAATGAATTGGGGCCACACACTAATGAAAATATTTAATCATTATCACTTACAAAAAGAAAGAGTTGGCTGAATTATGGTACCAACAAGCCTTCTACTCGCATTTAGTTAACTGAACATATCATGAATACATAATCTGGGTTAACTGAGACATGTGAAGCTTTTTGTACCACCTTTCTAGGAACCAAAATAACCTCTTACCTGTTCTCAGAGAGGCCAAGTAACAGTTCTCCCTCAAGAATCTTGTACTCGTGATTTTGGCAAGGAATGATGTAAAGGCCTGTCTGTTTCTTTACATATTTCTTTTTCAGAAGGTCATAAATAAGAAGGGTCTGGAGAATCATAAAGGAAACCAAGCTGTTTGCTTTGTATAATGAATAATATCAGTAAGCATTTCTTACTTGCTAGCTTCAAGTTCAGTGCAGGGGGTGTTCAGCCCCTGGTCCATGAGGCAAAGCCAGCCCACAGAGCCAGAGCATCTGACCTACAGGACTCCCCACGGATTGGGAAATTTGTCTACTCTTCCCCTGCAGACAGACTTTCAAGCCCTGCATTGCTGAATCAGGCCTGGGTCAAGCCACTGCCATGTGGTGGGATTGGACCCTGAGCATCCCTGCCCTGCACACCAGATCTGGCCTGTGGATGGGCTTGGCACTATCCATCTGGCCTGTGGGGCTAAAAGGTTGGGCACCACTGTGTTAGTAAGTAACTTAAAACACATGTGACTGCACGTGCTCACAAAATTTGAATAAAGCTGTGTTTAGTACCTGAAAAATGGATAGTGGAGGGTCTGTAAAGGGAGCCATCCCCTTGTCTGTCAGGACAAAGAGTTTCATATCTCTAACCAGCACAATGTCTGTGTTCTCCACCAGCCCTCTCTCCACTCTTACTGCATTGCCTTTGCACTTTGATTTCACTATGTTCCACACTGTAATGGCTCCAGGACTCAGATTTCTGCATACAACATACCTTCAAAACCAAAAGAACACCAATCACCATCACCTTACTGACATTTCAGTCTTTTCAAGCAAAAACACATAGCAGATAGTTCCCAGAGCTGAAATCCTGGTTCTGTTTGGTTAATAAGAATCCAGATTTCACTTCAGATATTTTGTTAGTAAGTTTCTAAATATTAATTTTTCTTCTGTTCTTTTTGGTGGATTATGAAGTACAATTTAATTTTTCAAAAGTTGTCGCTCAGCATGTTGCTATATGCAGTCTAACATGATGGGCTTCTCTGTAAATCATAATCATTCTTAAAGGCTGGCAGTCTGCATAGAAAAAGCTGACATAGGGACCAAACAAGAACTCGTGGAAAATCTGGGCAGTCATCTCAGATCACAGTTAAAATCGTGTTTGGTGCAGTTGAGTCTTAATAACACCTCTGTATAACATTCAACATAACATTCAGGCTCTTTTGTCAGGCTTGTCAGGAGAGCATCAGAAAATGAGATTGATCAGCAGCTTCATTTTTGGTAGGCCTTTGAAATAGGTTACTCCCTTGGTACATAGCATTGGTCTTTCCATGTCCTTCTAGATCTCTGGTTAGGAGTTGATTCTGCACTCTTTGGGAAGAAAGTAAATAGTGTATTTACTTGAATACAAAATGACCCGGAATATAAGATTCCCCCCCCCCCCAATAATTAGACTCTATATATGGATAACTTATAAATGTTATAATTTTCCAGGTATATAATCTAATTATTGGGGGTTTGCTTTGAATTTGTCCCCCTCCTACTGCTACAGCAGGGAAAATAAATCTGGGGAGGTCAGGAGCCCCCTTGCCCTCTGCCCCTCCCCCAAGTTCTCCCTCTTGCAGCCCTTTCCCCACTCCTTACTGTCAGACCCTGCTCTCGCTGAGCACATGGAAATGAAGAGCAAATTTGAAAACACTAATCTCAAAATAAAGACCTGTAGTAATTTGCATATATTACCCATAAACTTAATTCATACAGACATGATGCACCATACCTTTTTTTGAAAATGTTTCAAGTTTTACCACAGGCATTCCATAAACACACTTTTAAGCAGCACTTTTGTACTTACTTATATATAGTATGAACTGGGCATGTCTACATGTGCATTAATGCACCATAATAATAGCACATTTCGTACCTGTAATAACAGGTACTAACTTATTGCGCTGTAATTGGCACTACTGCACAGTAGCACTAGTGCATGTTTTTACATGATGCTAATGCACAGTAGACTAATTCTACTGTGTATTAACAGTAGAATTTACTCAGTATTAACTGTGCATTTACCATAACATAGTAATGCACAGTAGAATTAGTCCACTGCACTTTTAAACATGCCCCTTATGTATCATATTAGTCCAAAGCCAGAAACGCTCATGATTTACCATATAGTTCATTGGGTTGGACCCAGTAGAGACAACAGCATTTGGTGACCACATACCTCAACAATATTCAGTATGTGTGTGTACTCCAGATACTTCCCCACAAAGGATCCACATGCTAATTTTTCCCCTACTCATGGCTGGAACTGGGTGTTCATGTCACGAGTCCTGAGATACTCCACAAGTTTATATGCAGATGAGGTGCAGGGCAATGTGGTCCAGCTCCACTTCATGGACACTAATCATATGCACTAAGCTGAGAGGGGATAATGGGGGGATTCTGGGTGAATATTTCAGGACCCATTTGGTGATGTTTGCCAGACATTTAAGACTGGTGAAGAAACAGGACTCATTGCTGTTTGCAGACAATGTATTTAGTGAGGTTTCCATATAGATGAATGTAAGGCAAGGGGCTTCGACTGGGGAAAAAAAGCCTCATCTTGTATTCAAGTTAATACGATATCTTCCTTAAGATTTTAAAATCTGTAAGTGTTGGGTTTTTTCTTTTTCAAGAGGCTTTGGATTACAGCTTGTTTACACTCATGAAAACTGTTGGATTCAGCCTTGGGTTCTGAAGTTTAATTTATCCACAGAATAGAGAGAGCACAAAGAGCAGCAGGTTTCTGTGCCCATTCAGGCCTTGTCAAGGCTACTAATACGGCCACTAAAAGCAGAACTAGAGACAATACCCTAGGCCATGGCCATTTGTTAGATGAGAATATGTTGCAAGCAGTTAAAACCAATAAGAGCAAATCATTGTGCTTTATGAAGGTATTGTGTTATGCCTATTTGTAAAAATTCAGAGTGGAAAGCACTTTTGGATTGACCATTTTAAAACAAACACTGGCAGTGTATTCAATAGGGTACATACGAGTACAAAAGGACTCTGCCTCAAGCAGTGTGCAATTTAAATCAGATAGTTTAACATAAATGATTTATAGACTCACTCCCAAAATAGCACACAGTTTACAAGGAAAAAGAGTGGAGAAACATCTCCTTTGAAAGACTTTACTGGTGGTTTCCCAAATCTAACATCTTGCCTAAAATGCTGCCTGACAGCTTTGAAACAGGGAGGAGTTCTCTAAATCAAAGAACAGTCTTTTTTCTGCACTTGCCTGGGATAGTTCTGTATAGTTAAAATATCCTGAATTCCACTGATTTTCTTTGGCTTGTTTGCAGTAACAGTCAAAGACTGGTCGTTGATCTTGGAAGCCAAGTTCCATGATTGAAGGCAATTCTCTCCATCACAAAAAGCTAAACAGTAATGAAGATCAGAGCACACACCTACACAATTAAGATTAGGTGGAAAAAAAAAATGAAATGCCTGTACCACTGGGAACAGAATATATTGCAGTTATAAGAGCATATTTATCCTACCTGGGGCCAACCTTAAAGACTGTTTGGAAATCCTAGCTTCATTTAATTGCTAACATTTTAGGAAAAGCAGGCCAAGTATAGCATATTATCTGATGCTCTGTACTTTGCATTGGCTTTCAATTCACTTTCTAGGTGAAATGCAAAGCATTGTTTATAAAGCACATATACTTTGGAACCAACTATCTCCCTACACCTGCCTTATCATGACACAAGGAATGCTTTGTCTCCAAGTTATGGTCGATGGGAACTGGAGACTGGGCATTCTTAGTAGCACTGTTCTTGACTTTGATCCTGAATGTATGCCTGAATCTGGCCTTATTTATGGCAAGTTGCAATATCTATACCCTTTGTATAAATAGCACACTTACTACTGGAAAGCTCTGAAACCTTTGGCATGTAGCTTATTGGCAGCTGTCTGTTGATTTACTATGCAGAGAAGCTGAGGTGCGCACAAGAGAGAAGTTGTTATTGTTTTAAGTTGTAGAAGTTCTAGAAAAGCTCAAACTTAGATCTTCAGTAATAACAATATTAATTTTATTGAAATGCTGAAACTATAAGATGCCTGAATTTAACAAAGTATGACATTCAGATCTGGATTTTCTCAGTCTGGAGTTGTTGAGATTTGGCACATGTTGGAGATAAGGGCCAGTCATGAAATTTGAATCTCAGTCCAAACATTTCAAAGCTTGGAAGTATTTAGCTCCAAAATTTTGATCCAGGCTTCTTCTATACTTGTGACAAGGGTGGACATGCATTTACATTTTAAAATGTCCCCTTTCATTCCATGATTTGTTTTTGAGCAGTTAGACCCAAATCCTATTTTACTCTTAAGGTGTATAACAAGTATTTAGGTTTCTAAAGGCAAACCTGTTCCATCCTGCATAAGTGCCTACAAAAACAATCATGGATCAACTTTCTAACCCACCTTTATGTTGGTTCTAAGAATAAATCACTAAAAGCAGCAAGAAAAAGGACAAGCCATCCACCTTTTGCACTAACCTATTGCATTAGTGGTATTTCAGATACTTTGGAATAGGACTGTAGTTAGCTGCCTGAGTACCACTCAGAGTGTCCAAAATGTGAAATAGGATTTGGATGTTATATTATTCTCTAATCATCTTGCCATAGAACATTTCATATTGACATCTTTGTTGACACACTTTCTAACAGGTATAAAACCACCATGGATCTAGCAGAAAAAGCCTATAACAGTGGTCTCCAACCTTTTTAGGTCAGAGATCACTTTTGGAATTTAAAAGGAACTGAAGATCTACCTCCCCCTCTCAGCAGGTAAGTCTGTGGGCAGGGGAGAGGAGAGGGGAGAAGGGAAAGGGCCACGGGGGCTGAGACCGATTGAGGCCCCAGCCCTAGCCACACTCCCTCACTGCTGGGGCCTCAGTCTGCCGCCCCACCCACAACGGCATGCAGCCCGAGGACATGGGGTTGTGTGTGCTCCCAGATCTGCACATGGGGCGGGGAAAGGTGGGTTAGGGCTGAGGCAGCACTGGGCTGTTCCCAGCTGGGCTGTGCTCAGGCCGGGCAGTTGTGGTGGTGGCGCTGGAAGTGGGGCCACAGAGGGTCTGTAGCCCCCCCCAATCCCCTCTCCCAGTGCTGCTGACATCTGTGCTGAGTGCAGGCCTGGCAGGAACAGCCTGGTGCAGCCTTCCAGCCTGCAGCTGCAGCCCGCCCTCCGCCATGTCCACCAGCCCCTGGCCCCCATGTCCTCAGGGGGAAGGGAAGGCTGTGCTGGGCTGTTCCCACTGCACTTGGCTTGCGCTATGCTTGGTGGCAGTGCTGGGAGCGGTTATTTGGGGGGCTACAGCCCCCCTGTGGCCCTGTTCCCAGTGCTGCTGCTACAGCTGCAGCCACCCAGCCTGAGCACAGCTCAGCCAGGAACAGCCCGGTGCTACCCCCGCCCCAACCTCCGCCGGTGCTACCCCGGCCCCAGCCTCAGCCCGCCCCGCCCCACCCTGTGGGCAGGTCTGGAAGCATGTGTCCCCCCCATGCTTTCCTGGGCTGTGTGGCCCCCTCCCCCAGATGAGCCATGAGCGGCTCCATCCCCCGCCCCATCCCGGCTGCTGCTGGGAGCTGGGCTTTGTGTCCTGAGCCCCACTGCATGTCCCCTGGGCCTCCGCCCCTTCCCTCCCCCACTGACTGACCTGCTAGGCTTATCGGTGGGTGGCATACATGTGTTCAGGATCAACTTCAAGAGGCTCTGGGATTCACCAGTCAATCCCGATCAATCGATTGGTGACCACTGGCCTATAACAACATTGAAACTCTTGTATCTACAATAATTCAATGCAGTAGTAAGGACTAAGGATGTTACTGAAAGTGTAAGGTTTCTGTTTTACATAATTCCTACATAATTCAGTCAAACCCATTTCACAATAACAAGGCTTAACAGAAGTGGAGTCACTCACCACCAACAGGGACTGAAGGTAATTTGGCCAGATGCTTATGCTCTTCAGATTCCAGATTCCATACTATTATCTCAGTGGTGCTGGTGTTTGGGATAGAGCTGAATGCCACAAGATGGGACCCCAGGTGATTAATGAAGTAGGTGAAAATAAAATCATTGCAGCAACCCTTCAGTGTGTGAGTGTAGACAAAGGTACCAACACTGAAGAGTTCTATATGAACAATATCCTGCTGTCCCATGAAGGGGCATCTACAGAAAATTAAGGAGATGTACAGAAACTGGTTTAAAATAAATACTAAACCAAGACTGAGTAGTATCCCATCAGAAACATAATTTACAAAGGCAGCAAGCAAGATATAAATGAAAAGGTACCACATCCACTATGAAAAATATTGAAAAATATTGAAGAATGCTATTTTCTACACAACCTTTACCTGAAGATGACAAGGAAGTATTCCTTAGTTATGGCTACTCCTTCAACTGCAACTACAGGTTCTTGACTTGTCAATTTAGCAGTCACCTGTCCCTTTTTGGCACTGAACACCATAGCTTCTTTTCCACTCCTGTCAAGAGAAGAACAAATGAAACTAGAGATTCTACGTCACCATTCTCATTGCCAAACCACTAGGCACAGTATGATGGCTAGAAAATGGTATTTAGAGGTTTGTTTTTAGGAACTGACTTGTAGGTAAAGTAGATATTCATTAGAACAGTGGTCCAGGGGAACAGCAAGGGTGAATTGGTTTCAAAAAGCCTGTTTGTGACAGTTTCCTTCAAGGCCCACTGTGTCTGAAGCCAGAAGACACACAGGTTGGGAAACTGAAGACATGTACCACACTGTTGCATAATATGAACAGTGTACCCAAACCGAGATAAGGGATTCTGCAGCATTGGTGCCAGAATCCCAAAGGCTCTGCAGTTGGGCATCGTGATCAATGCCCAACTGCAGAGCCCTTGGGATTTCCAGCTTTGGTGGATGGATCAAATTAGGAGAAACCAGTAAATAAGTAAATTAAGATGTGTGCATGTGATGGGTTTGTGAAACAAGGAATAAGCTGACAGAACAAAATGTATATTGTATTATGACCACAGGGAAACATATCAATGATGCCCAGGAATGAAGAGTCATCAAAGGGAGATAAAGAATACAAAAGGAGGGATTTCAGGGCAGCAAAAGGCCCCAAGAAGGGAATCCAAGGCCACCATGAGCAGAGGACACCCCACCCCACTATGGGAGTGGGTCTTGGCCCTTGCTCTCCAGGCTGCTGACATCTGATATTCAAGAGAGAACCTCAGGGTGAAGCTTGAGTACTGGCCAGACATATCTTCCCTCTGTGACAGCTCTAGGACTGGTAGATATAGATTCTGCTTGCCTTGCCTGCATTAGTCTTATTCACTATCACTGTCAATAAAATTTGCCTGTTATCAAATGGAGAAGTCATGGTCAGTCTGAGGGTTTGGGTCTGCTCAGAACAAGGTATCTCCATCTAACCCAGGAGGTACACAGCCCCACCAGGGGAGACGCCTTGTTGGATTTGGTCCTGGCCATGGGCGATGACTTGGTACGGGGTCTGCGGGTGCTCGACCACCTGGGCGATAGTGATCATCATCTGCTGGAATTCAACATCTAGCGCAAGGTGGTGAAAACCTCCAGCAAGGCAGCAGCCCTTGACTTCAGGAGGGCGGACTTTAATGAGGTGAGAAAACTAGTGGGGGAAGCACTGAGGTCCCAAAGCAGGAGGGAGTTGAGTGTCCAGGAGGAGTG